TTCATTCTCGAAACAAAAGACAGGCCTAGTTCAAGTAAACAAATAGCATGACGGAACGGTGAGATGTGAAATTTGTTGTGGAGAACGAGGCGTAGCGGGAGGGAAAATAATGCAGGACTAACTTATGCTAATATTTTGGCGTGAAATCGCGTAAAAAAAAATGTATGGAATTTTAAATTAGACGAACTTGGTAAATCGCACCTTGCGGGCAATAACGGCGCGTGGAAGGAAATATCGAAAACATAATTTTTGTTGCCATTTAAAATTTCCGCAGATATCCGTTCATTTGCCTCGAAATCTGCGGTCTCATGGGTCGCCCGAGGTAATATGATGTTAACACTTCTTCGGCGCGAACATTAGGATGTAGGCCTAATAGTTGGACCTTACCTAAGTATAGCTAGGCCAATCGATACCGGACCGACGGACCCAGCAGTATATGCCCCGACCCTTTCTTTCTCAGTTCACTCCACAAGCTATACACCGCATGAAGTCGTCTGCTTCGTACCACAGCCACAGTGCCTTTCAGCCAGCCGTTGTATTAATAGAGCTCGCCACACTTAGTACTCATACGAACACGCACACGGATGTAAACGCCAGACACGCGCGTGAGTTACCCACCTAGTTTCCCACCGAACTGCCTCTTTTGGCCTAATCAGAAGCAGCGTGCTGAACACAAGTCATTTCTTGTCATGCCTGCACAGTAAGCGTCGTAAACCGTGCCTCCAAATAATAGCTGATGACGATACTGCGACCGATATGACCATGGGCTGCCTGACCTAGAATCGGCGCTTGAAATTTATCGAGGTACAACATCAGAGCGCTTGCTGTAGCTTACGCTACGTATATATATCCTCTAGTGGGTGACAAAAACCCACGGGTCGGTTATTTAATTGATATTTGTCAGTCGTGGCAGTTTGAATTGACTGTCTGCTCATGGGTTTGGTCGTTCTTAATCTTCAAGTATTACTACTTACTCTACTAAAAAAAAACGGAAACGCAATTATGGCCAATTTCTTAGAGTCACGCTCAATTCTAAATAATAGATTTCGCAAAAAATACTATACGAAAATTTTAATATATTTTACAGTACGCGCTTCGTAGCAGCTGCGTTGAGTCCTTGAGCTTAAGTGAAATTTTTTGTGCATTGTGAGGAAGGCTTCTTTTGTGTGAGTAGGCTCATTTCTGAAGCAAACAGAGAAATACGTTCGGATCGGCTGTTGCAACAGTTATTCTTTGTCATCGTCCGATAAAAGTCTCAGAAGTTGCCTGCTTGTAATTTGCTTTTTCGCATTGATTAGATGGGCTTCGTGTTGGGCTCAAGCTGTCAGGGTGCAGTGGCCGTAATTAGTTGCAATTAAGGACGGTTATTAGGTGGGGTCTGGCAGCACGATCACAACCCGACAGATCTGGCTGATTTAGATAAAGTGTCACGTCGGCTAACAAATCGTCACCGTTCATATGTGTCGTCCCTATATCCAATAGATTAACTGTTATCATGCATATTTTTTACTATCTATGTTTTCCGAATATTTCTTTGATAATAATTTTAGATTTCTTTTTAGCCAAACATCACGGTCGGCAACAGTGGTCATGTACCACTTTTGTCGCCCGATTAATCTTTAATTATGTATCTAGTAGCCGATCAAGGACTGGTTCAATAATTTGATGTTAGTACGTATATGCTTTGTTTCGCCCACGGGTTGCTCAGCCTATGAGTTTCATACAACGGTGAAATATAAGGGTAATTACCCACATTTTCCGTCTACATACGCGGCCACGCGTAGACCACGCATAGAGAATGGTTCTATGCTATACTTCCGGCGATGGTTCTGCTCTATTGGCATCGCTTCAACGTTTATCAAAATTGCGCAAATTCAAAGAACTGACTAGAGGTCCCGTAAGGCTGTATTTTATTATATGTTTCGCGTTTATTATATGTTATTATTACGGTTATATTATAGGCTACAGGCTATAGCTCACAAAGGAACTTGTTTCGTAGTCTAGTAACACACAATCGCAACTGTATGTTTGTCTCGTAAGTACCGGAATAGAGCTTGTCAGCCTATAACTTTCTAACGTCTTTTTGCGTAGTAGGTTGGCATCAGTGAGTGCATCGTATGAGTTTATGCGAGTTCCATCGTGACGCTTCATGTCTGTTGCGAAGTAGACGCGTATACATATATAAGGACAGTGATCTGATAGGCACTTGTTTTGACAGTACTATGATGGTAGGCGAAGCATACAAATCACCGCGGTAGTCATTATCGTGGTCGCACTACCGCAAGATGTTGGACCAATTCAATATGGACCAATCAGCTAACACAATTTACCGCGGACAGACACTTAGTTTGCTTGGCAGTCTCGAATTTTCGCCTGATGTCAAATGGGACATCTTGCATAACATATATAGTTGTCTCCCTCAAAGATGGTAGAACAGAGATGCTGATTTGGATCATATTCTATCAGTAATAGAAGATGGCCTAATCTTATCTTTACCTTTTTTCGTTAACATCGAAGGTCGTCTATACTAGACACTAGCAAAATGCTGTTTTATCTGCATGAATGATTCATTTATACGGCGGATTTATATAGCATTAGCAGTAGAGATATAGCGGATAAGACGGTCACTGATTTATTGAAATAATATTAATTCTCACGACAGTTGCTAGTTTATAGTATATATATATATATATATATATATATATAGTAATTATGAGTGCGCCACGATCTTTACTTGCGAACTACCTCATGCCAGCGGTAGCCGTTACCGATCCGACATCGATTCGTTGCTAACTACCGCGCTGAGTACGAAATAATTCAATGGATTTCGATCGGAATCCATCGAGCGGAATGATCGCACAAGGCTAGGTTGCCGGAGAGGCTAGAAAATGTCAAAAAAAAGTAAAACTTACATTATCTTACAATTTCGTAAGCAGTCAATATCCTTATGTTCAAATTCACAGATACCGTAATCATTGCAAATGCATGCATCTCTCTCAGAACTTTGGTAGAGACTGTAGTTTTGTGCCCTAAGTCTTCGTTGTCATCCTGCTCAAGTTATGTCTTAGCACCCGCGCAGCCACGACTGATATCGAAAACTGTCGATTTCGCTTTAACTTAATTAGGAACACCATGAAGAGTTGTGCTTTTTTTTTTTATCAAGTTCAGCCTAGAGCTTCCGCCCAGCCCTGAAAGCATTGCTTACCGTATCGCTAACAGCTGATTCAATACGTAATTGTTATTTTAAACTTAATTAGTGACGCCTCTATTTCGTCGCACGTCGCGCGGGTAAAAACAGGAAAGCTTTATAATGGTATTTACAGCATCGTTTTACTGCGTTTGAACAAACTTACGTGTTCGAGGGTCGCTTTCGAGACGGCTGTATGTACTTAGGCGAAAAATAAGTATAGACTATAGCGCCGATTATAATCTTCGAAAGAAAACTACATAAAACACTATGATCATAAATACAAGTGTGCAGTGCGGCACTCTTTAGCGATTCTACAATGTGTGTTTCATTACTTCACGAGCCTATTTGTTGTCTGACTAGGTAGATCTGTCCTAGGTATTTGTTGTCTGACTGAATAACGAAGAGTTTTCTTTATTGGCGTTATGGTTGCGAAATCCGATAAGTAATACTGCAGAGATTCACGGCAGAGATTCTGTGCTGAGCACCCTTAGCTCGTATGAAGATATAGTGAAACTACAGTGATTTAATCTGCCCTTCGGTCCTTGCGGTATGCTTGCTTCCTTTTTTCCTTGTGCGAACGCTGTTCGAGCCGGACGAGGCATTCCGTTACGGCCTCTTACGCAGCTAGATATTCATCACACAACGAAAGCGTCTGGCTTTGAACCCGCGCCCACCTAGTTTTAGCTGCCACGCCAAGTCGGGCACGCGAGCATCGACGTGCCTCGGCTGACAAAGTTCGATGTTTCTACTGCTACAGTTAATTTAGCTTTTTTTTTTTCTCTCTTTCCTACATTTTTCTTTTCTCCTCTCTTGTGGAAAAGACAGAGAACAGCTACCGAAGGAGTGCTGTACACTCCGCCTACCGCTCTCTGGGCGGCCATGTTGGGTTTAGCAGCTGATGCTGTATCAATGACGAACAGAAATGGCGCGCGTTATAGATTTCACCAAAATGAAATTGCGTGTGTGCGCATTTTCGTTCTATTTATATGCGTCGTGTTGTGGCACGTATTACGTTTGTGTTTGAGATTCGTTGTCGTGGGATCTTTAGACGCACTGTGCAATTGTGTACGTGTCCATCGCGAAGTAAAAAACTTGTGAAATTTAGCTTGCTTAGTAACGAGGTGCGAATTTTTCCAACATGTTTCGGTATGATATATGCATGATGTCCAACATAATCATGCTGAGCACTAAGCAGACAACGGGTAGACTATCGATAAGTAAGTGCTCGTTTTTGCTTTTTGGATCTTATTAAAACGTCGTACTATAATGCATACTCGAAGCCATGTTTAAAATGATGCCACATTTTTACCGGTTGACAACTGCTGTCTACGGTAGTTAAGAATCATTCAAGTCCGTAGAATAGGTTGTATTACTTTTTATGGCTGGCAGTTTACAAGGGTAGCGATTACGCGGGTTCGATAACACCGTTGCGAAGGCGGTCTGCAGAGCAAGGAATCCGAACAGCATATCGAAAAAGATATTGAAGACGAGCTATTTGCACTAGATTAAGTTTTTATATTTTCGTTTGGCTTCCCTAATATACAAGCAGAAATCTCTTTACTTTTTTACTTAATTACTGAGACTGGGTATAACGGAATCGATGGACGTATATGTAAATAGTGTTGCTGGTGTGCTAAATGCAGTCATAGCGAATGGCGGGGAGGAGGGGGCGGGGGGGCATCACCTTGGTTCAAACGCGGCGCGTTACACGAAGCCCCTAGAAACAGTTTAGGTATATAGCTGTATGATATATCGCCATGTTGTCTTCGACTTGCATTATATTTATAAATCGGCGGAAACTTCGTTCCAGGTATCACGACCGAGGGTGTAATCGATAACTCGTGAGGACGAGTATAACACCTCAGTAGCGCCCAACTGCGTGCAGTTCGAGGCTGGCGAACGTCTTGTAACTTAAACTTATATTGCGCTACGAAATCGCAAATTGCTACGAATTTTTCTCGACTGGTTTCAACGTATGAGTTGAAACCCGAAACAATTCGCGGCGCCATGTCAATAATGCGGCGTCGGCCTCGTGGGAGCGTCGTGTGGAAGTTAGGGGGCGCAGCTGCTTTTTCATGGTTGCTGCTTACGTTGTTTGCGTCCACGCGAAAAGATCTTATTCAAGATGACAACTCTGTCTTTCAGCCACCTCAACCGGCGCTTATGCAACACAATCTACGGGCTGACAGCGAGGTAAGCCTGCACCGATTCCCTTAGTACGACATGTATTCGTGTGCCTATAAATGAAGTCCAGCAGGTCTATGTTGAATTAGCCAAAATTCCCAGGCTTAAATTTAACGTACTGGCGAGTGGATGCGAAATTCATATAATATTTAGGCCAACAATATTTTATCTTTCTGTTACAACAATATTTCCATGTTATATTGAGCTGCGCAACCTATAGAGTGGTAAGCGTATCTAAAAGCTTCTTTGCTATATCTTACTATAACCCTGCACTTTGGTTTAACGTACATAATTCATATATGATAATAAGATCTTTGTTGCCATGCAAGAGTGTGAAATAAATAAGTAAAGTGATGCGTAATTGCCATTAATTCCGTCATATTCATATAGATTTTTCATCAATAGGATTTTCTTATTTATGGCACAAAATTGAAAACCGTTTCTTCCTTTACAGTTACGTCGATTTTTTTTAATTATCCTCTCAATGAACAATATATCCCGGAAACTTATCGCTTGAGTATGTTGGTATACTGCTCTATCGGGATATGGTAGGTGAATAGGGACTACGCTAATAAACTAGATTCAGTTTTTGTACTGGTATGCGCACCTCAGTCGTTACCCGCTAAGCAACCAGCTAGACTGGCAGCCCCATGCTTTCCTAGTTGCTTAGCGTTTCCATCCGGGCTCACAACGGGTGATATCTTTCTTCACGCGCGTATTTTCCACATCGCTGCATTCCCCCTACGGCTGCTTAGTGGCTTTAGGTTGCCCACAGCAACTTCAGCCTGCGACGGCCGCCTTTAAGCCCTCCCCCACCCACAACCGCCGCCTTCACTTCTACCACAACGGTAGGATGCGGTTACTTCGTCAGGGACCCATAGCTTCGGCCTTGAAGGCAGGTCGACCGACCGAATAACCGGAAAAGCCTTCGGGGAAATTCCCTTAACGTGACGGCATGGAACGCAAACAGCTTAAAGAGGTCTGATAGCTAGAAGTCAGTAAGCGGTTTCTGGTTCGAGCTCCCCAAAGACCAATTCTGCCATTCTTGGTATACCATCTATTCTTCTCTTTCCCAAGGGAACGCGTTAGAAAAAGGGACGACACCATACGAACGACGTACTTTTCGAGTCGCTTCGAATTTTCTCTATGATCTATGTCTTTTTAGAAATAAAACTATAATTGCGGCAACATTAATCAAACGTGGCTTTAACGTGTAGATACTTTTTTGTTGGCTCGGCTAGCTTTAACGTTGTATTTTATATAAGTGATATCGAAAGATACAGAACAACAGAGTAGGTTTACATTTATTTGCTCACATAAGCCTTCTTCGTCCCATGAGCTGTTAGGCACTAAAAAATGAAGTGTTCAAAATAAAGCAGATGAACTTGAATACGAGCAGCGGTAGCACGAATTTTATACAGCTATACAGTGTTGCATGATAAGGGACTTAGCAAGAATATTGACTTACTGTTACAGATGAATGGTGCTAGTACGAGCGCTGGTCCCATCGTTCCTGCAGTGAACGTCGCCCCCGACGTTTTACCTCCTTTGGCACGTCGTCGTATGCGGAAACAAGGGGATCCTGAGGAGCCGCGTACGACAAAGATAAACGCTGACCAGGAAGAGGGTCAAGGGGTGATAAAGTTTCCAGTCGATCCTAAAGCACCAGGTGAAGGTGGAGTCGCTGTACAGATGCCTGCGAACTTAAGCGGGGAAGCCAAACGGAGATACGACAATGGCTGGCAGAATAACGCCTTTAATCAGTTTGCATCCGATATGATCTCCCTGCACAGAAGTCTGCCTGACATGCGTCAAGAAGGGTAAGCACTTAGAATATCCCCACTGTGCCAACTTCCGCAACCACGGCACTTTTCTTTCTTAAAAAAAATCGTTGAAAACTCAAATCACACTGGTGCTCTACTGATGCTATGTTTACTATTGTCGCTTGCACTCTGTAGCGCTTATTTTTGGTTTATAGTAATTTCATGGCAGCGATAGATAGAGCAATTATTGACTATGAAGAAAATTGTTCTACCTGAACAGTGAGAATGACTTGTGAGAGTCTAAGCGGTAGACCTTTGCTGTGGCAAAAGGAACGGAATCTGTAGTACTACTGCAAATATGCAGAGTGCACGATGTTGCACGTATCCTGAAGATACGCATAATGAAGAACGAAAATATAAGATCAAGAAAATAGAATACATAGCCGAGAAGGAGAACAACTCATAGCCGAGAAGGAGAACAACTATTGAGGTTTCAAAATGCTTCAGTCGACACAAAAATATTGATTTCCAACCCAGGTCTTGCAAGCTGGGTATGCGAACAGCATTTGAAAATATAGAATGGCGAGCGCTGCGGCGTACTAGAAGCTCGTGGTCGTCTAAATCATAAACAACGGTTCGTGCATTTGCACTGCAGTGTCTTCCTAGCGGCAATAAATGGCGCCAAGATATATTATATCTCTCATAAACGATACGCGCTTCTCAAGTCTGCTTCTGTCCCTAGTCGTGTTCTCATATGTATGCTAATTTTATGGATAGCTGCCTCTTTTTCGTCACGTCGCCGCTCTCTCAGCCCGTATGTGAAATGGGTCCGTCCGTGCTGCTTGCTTCGTTGCATCTGGCTGAGCTCCCCTTCCGTCATCGCACTTACCTTGCCTCTCTCTTCCCCGACCCCCCGTTCTTCCCGTCGGTAGAGGTTCATGCAGAAAGTGAGGCTTCCCAGTTCCCACTTGGCATGGCGTCGCCTCAAGGTTCGTTCTTTCAGCCAGATCCGAGAGAGATAACTGCGCAGCCGCTTTGCCATCCGAGTCGCGCCTGGGTCCCCTCCTTCCCCATCGCTGAACCACTGCGACATCCACCGGCCGCTGAGGCAGCCTCGTGTAATATGTGTCAAACGTTTCTGAGGGGTCCAACCGGTACACTAACGCCGTCGCCACCACTACCTAGGCACTCCTGCTGCTGTTCAGGTATATCCTGCGCATTGTATCCTGCCTCACAAGGGAGAGGAGTGCAGATAGGTTTGCTCATTCTCAGTTTTAAGTGAGCCTAACTGTCAATGCCTACTCTACCTCTAGGATCGTACCTCTCGTACTACTGCTATTGTACGAGGTAACAGTTTTAGAAATGGCGTGCGAAGGAAGGATTGCAGATGAATGGCCTAGTTGGCATTCGTTAACCGTCTGCTTACTTAAAGCCAGAAAAAGAAACGCTAACTGACGTACATGGCCTGGCTGCACCTGCTATGGCGGACTGTATAGGCATTGCAGGGGAGCTGCGGTAGCTGTTGCCGCAATGCCTTACATCCATACGCCAAACGTAGCTCAACCGAACAGGAAAGCCGGCGAAAAGCTAGCGTTAGTAATACTGCTAATATGGGAACAGAATACGCTTCGATGCGCCCGAGACTATTAGGAACAGCAACGGCGTTTATTACGATTAGAGGAGACAAATTGCTGTTTGTTATGCATTATACATAGCATGTCGCGCTCGAAGCGAGGAAAGGGGGCAAGACCTATTACTTTTAGGCGATGCGATACACTGTAATCGGCATTCTACAGCCTTACGAACTGGTGGGAACAGTCAGTAAAGAGCCTTAACGATGCCGCTGGATGAATGTTGCCAATGTTTGACGAAGCTGACTGAAGCTTTTTATGCGATTGCTGTCTTAGCCGAGAAACTTCACTTATCTCGGCAATTTTATTGCTGACTTGCAGATGCCGTTCACAGAGCTTTCAGAAAGATTTGCCAGTGACAGCGGTAATCATTTGCTTCCACAATGAAGCATGGAGCGTACTATTGAGAACTGTTCATTCAGTAATTGGCCGATCACCTAAGCACTTACTCAAGGAGATCATACTTGTTGACGATTTCTCGGACATGCCCCACCTCAAGGTAAGTTATAATAGATAACTATTATACGGAAGATATCGTAATATCAGAGGTAAAGTACACTAAACAAAGACAGCAAATTTCTACGAGGGTCTTCAAAGCCAGCAATATTATGAGATGTTAGATCAGCATAAACTTCCCTATCTAGCCCGAAAAACCTTTAACCATTTGGGAGCTATTATCAGTTCTTAGTGACTAAACTTTGTTCAGATGTCAAGCAGTAGATCGAGTGAATCTCAGTTGAAAATTGCCTTTACGTAGATCAATACTGGATAAAGTTCCTCATAAACAAATGCATTTATGTTGGTCATATTCTAGGATCAGTTAAAAAGATACGCAGACGAGCTGGGTATTGTAAAGATTATTCGGGCCACTAAGCGGGAGGGCCTGATTCGAGCCAGGTTACTCGGGGCGAAGGCTGCAACGGCTCCAGTTCTTACGTTCCTCGACTCGCATTGCGAGTGCACGCAAGGTAAGAATGAGATGCTCAAAACCGGCGCACTGACGTTCATTACGTGCTGCTGCTATGTATCGATTACGGTAATCTGCCAGTAGGGAAACTGGGCTTTGCTTAACACCTGTTGAAAAGGATTTCCAACAAGCTATTACATTAGTACTTAACCAAGGTTCCGCAGTGAGAAAAATTGCTCTGCTCCCATCGAAGACTTTTTAAGAATAGCTTACATGGGTACGTCAGGTCCTAAGTCATTGAGTGTTCGACCATATTTTTAATGAAACTTTTTTCCAACACTTTCCAGTGAGACGTTATAGTAGAAAAGAAATATGAGTCACGAAGCCATGTGTGATGTAAGACTCTGCGAAAGGTCGAACAACTCAAACACTGTTTGAAAAGAATAATTGTTTTTTTTTTTTGTTCTATTTAGAGAGTTAAATCATAGATGACACATGCCTCAGATTTTAGTTTTTAATTCATTCGAAAAAAAAAATGCTCATCACAGGCTGGCTAGAGCCTCTTTTGGACCAGATCGCTGAGAATCTGATAAAAGTGGCGATTTTTGAAAGTGACGGTATGGATGATTCGGGTTTTATCGTTCCACATAATTCGGCTGTTACCTGGAACCTGTAGTTCGCCCGGATAACAATATCACATGGGCAAAGCGGCGGATTGGAATCTCGCCCAAAAAAAACTGTCAAGGTGTAAAACATGTTGAAACTAGTAGGCGAAACCATCTATTTATGCTAGTGGGTCGGCCCGTAGAAATGTCTACAGCATCGTTGTTACGTGAAAGCGGTGCGCTGCGATAAACAGCTAGTCTGATGATTTCCAAAGATGCATATCCTATGTATGTCAGCTAGCAATCGGAAATCCGCTATTGAATTTACAGATCACTCACGCTTAACTCGAAGCATATTAGATGGATACGAACACATTCTATTCAACTACATGGCGTTTGTTGCAAACACCCCCTGAAAGTTGATGGCTTCCAAAGGAGTAAATGACAAAGGGAAAGAAACTAAGTTCCCGATTATGGACGGCGAGGGTTGATGTTCTTCGAAAATATATGTTTCGCTAAACCTGTAACCTGTAAACCTGTAAAAGGACTGAAGATCTAAAATAATGTGAACATGAAACATGAACTCATACGCGTTCATGGACGAGTGGCTTTGCCGGAAGCAAATATTGCTTACCTGTTGAAGATGTACTACAAAAGAGTTGATGTCCTTTCGGATTACAGGATGGCTTGAGCCGTTACTGCAACGAGTTGCTGAAGATGAAACTAATGTGGTATGTCCTGTTATCGACGTTATCAATGATAAAACATTCGAGTATCACCATCGGCCGGGCTTATCGGTGATCAATGTCGGCGGCTTTGATTGGAATCTACAGTTTGACTGGCATGCGGTCCCGCAGAGGTATGTTCATAATGAAAAGTAATGAGCAACTTTCGAGCAGTCTATAAGTAGGATATAAAAACTAGTTAGAACTGCCAATGTAGGCCTTCGAAAGCAGATTCAAGATCTCGCATTGTTGGAGTAACGGGAAAGAAAGTAATGAATAAGCGCGTTCGTTTTCTTTGGATATGTGCAGTAAATACTACTTCTAAGCATATGAGCAGTAAATTGTTTTGAGACGCTTGGGAGCGGTTTGCTGTTAGTAATAATAATATGACGTTATTTAACCGCTGCCCGTGCACTTAATTAGGACTGAAATGCACGTATTCTTGTTAATTCATGCTGGCTGGCAAAGAAACAATTACTAACCAGTCATGGCGCTTCAGCGGCTTCACGGATACAATGACATTGCAATTAGAAAAGCAATTTAGTAATTCTTGAGTGAGTGAAAAAAGTAGCGTAACTTAGAGATTTTGACCCGCTTCTATTTACTATAAAATAAACAGATTACAGTGAAAAAAAGTTGACTTTTTGTCACTGCAATCTGTGCGAGCCAGACAAAGGTCGGAGGAAACAACCGTAAAGAGGGAGATTAAACAGTAGCGGTCTCATTGGTCTTGTGTGTTTTTTCCATATGTTGCCTACTATGATCGTCCTGGCCAGGGTAAAGGATCAGTTAAAGAATAATTGGTCTCCAGTGCCTAGCCCAACAATGGCTGGCGGACTCTTCACTATTTCGAAAGCTTATTTCGAAAAACTTGGTCTTTATGATAGCGGATTTGACATCTGGGGTGGAGAAAATCTCGAGCTATCATTTAAGGTAAATACAAACAACTTATTGGCAATCACATTTATTCGTAGTTACTAGTTATTGTTAATAATGCTAGCTTAAGTAGGTAATTGTTGCACCTTGCACCAAATATGGAAAGCCGTCATTTATACCCAAATGACTGAAGGGAACTAAAACCTGTATTAAGCCTCATTTTTACGTTCGTGTTTGCAGTATAACAGTTTGTTTCGTTTGTAATGACACACCGCCGCGCCGTTGGACGATGTACAGCACAATCTTTTTCAAACTATTTGACGATGTGCTTAACTTGTTACCTACCTATTAATGTCACTGCTGATCCAGAAAGAGCAATAGTCAAAGCATAGAACATTCGCACCGCATAAAGGTCAATAAAAGTATACGCACCAATAAAGTTCTTATTAAATATTATGCTGGGTGTAGAACGCCGTCCTTCTGTTACTGTTACTGCCTCACTTAGCACTTGATGTTTTATTTTTTGTGCTTGTGCTTCTGCTAGACGTGGATGTGCGGGGGACGTCTAGAAATCGTTCCGTGCTCGCACGTGGGCCACGTTTTTCGCAAAAGGTCCCCGTACAAATGGCGGAAGGGTGTAAATGTTCTTAAGAAGAACTCAATACGTCTAGCCAAAGTTTGGATGGACGACTATGCTAAATATTACTTCGACAGAATAGGACCCGACCTGGTAAGATATAATTAGTACTAGATTATTTGTCTTATTATTTTTCATTATCGAAGTCAGCGACAACAGATAACCTGTTGTCGTTTGAAAAATCGCAAAGCTTATGAAATTAAATTTATTATACTTCGCGAAGGGACGACCATTTCCTAGCGTACGCCTATGAGAAGTTTGTAGCATCTCCAGTCTATATAATATGCTATTTATATGCGCGTAAAATCGTGCTTATGGCTTATATAGCCATTCTATATATACGCTGAGCTTTTGGCCTTCACTATTACAATTATTATTAAAATTTAATTGTTGTTAATAGAAAATCATACGGCATTTCAGAGTGACTATGGTGATATTTCGGAACGCATTGAACTGCGTAAGCATCTGAACTGTAAATCTTTCGAATGGTATGTAAAAAACATCTACCCTGAGCTATTTATTCCGGGAGAAGCGGCGGCTACGGGCGAGATCCGAAACCTCGCATTCGGTTCAGAATGGTGCATGGATAGGTTAGTGTATACCTTGTTACTATCTCATTATTTTTTTCTTTTGTAAAAACGTAAGAATCGCTTGTTTGTGAAGGTCGGATGAGTGAAATCTTAGATGAAGTGGTAGAGACAGTCTTAGGTTCGTTAGAGGCTAAAGCAACAAACTGGTCGCAAATAATAATAGTCGAAAGCTGCGATTTGTTTTGTCTTATTACAGCAAGGGGGCTGTTGATAAGGTTGTTTCTGTATACCGCTGTCACGGTCAGGGAGGAAACCAGTACTGGCTATTTTCGAAAACCGGTGAAGTACGTCGAGACGATCTTTGCCTTGACTACGCAGGAGGCGATGTTACCCTTTATCCTTGTCATGGGTCAAAAGGCAATCAATATTGGAGATATGATATAAATGTAAGTGTATTTTTATACAAATAAAAAAAAAGTGATCATTCCATAAAGTAAAAAAAAATTAGCAAAATGCTCAGATGTAAGCGTGACATAGCATGGATGCTGGCATCACCGGCGTTCGTTATATTGGATTACCAACTTTCCCGCGAAGTTTTCCGCTCAAGGTTTCCGTTTTTAAATGTGTTCTATAGAATTAATGCGACTTAGAGAGAGAGAGAGAGAGAGAGAGAGAGAGAGAGAGAGAGAGAGAGAGAGCAGAGTAATGTTGTCGCACATAATAGGGCACTATGATTACGAGAACTAAAAAATGTGTCTCCGCTGTAAAAATGTCAGATATGAATAATGGGTCGTAATTGCTTACCGTTCAAAAATAACTAAATTCCCGTCGCCGGAGCAGGAGAACATTTCTGACTAAATTAAAGCTCTAGATTCAATTTTAAATGGGTATACACAAGGGGATACATAACCTTACTAGTTATTACGAAATTTGAAGCAAATTTCTAAACACTTTTTCTGCAATGTTTTAATTAAATCATTAGGACAAAACTCTGAAGCACGGCAGTAGTCAAAAGTGTTTGGCTATCAACGAGATGAAGACAGGCCTCTCTATGGAAACCTGCAACCCGTCTGTCGACCGGCAATCATGGAAATTCGCGAACTTCAACATTTCTAAACTCGAAGATTCGTAAAGGACTAAAATGTCTCTAGCTACATCGTTCTCGATCCTTGAGACACCCAGGACGTTTCAGAGTCTGTATGCGGAGTCCGTTGCCTTTTAAGGACATTGTCCACCGTTTAGCAGCTCATCCGTTGCAACGAAGGCTGGAACGAAAGGACATAGGCTGCGAACTTTTGTAGCCAAACTGAGTCAACGAAATTGGCCTCAAGTCGAACCGTCGGTTGCATCAGCACAGAAATAGCCTGTTCTTGCTGTGTATATATATATATATATATATACAGTAGGCAAAATACATCACTATTATGAACGATAACGCCCATACATCGGCAGTGCAATGGTCGAAGGTGCTAGCACCAGGAAACCACCGAGTTGTTTGTTGACATTGTTGTGATACCATCATTTTTAGTGAAAAAAGCTAAGAGCTAGCGGCGTTTTGACTAGCAGTTTCACCAGTACTAGTATATATATATATCGAGAGAGAGAGAGAGAGAGAGAGAGAGAGAGAGAGAGAGAGAGAGGGGTGCAAAGTGAAAAACGGATGTGTTAGGTAGCACATAATTGAACCTTTCAGTGGCTTTCTACGCGTGACGTGCTAATGAATGTAGAGAAGTATAGTAATATAATGTCAAGTTCAAAAGAAACTGATTGAGTGGTTATCTTGAATGAACAACAAAGTTTAGTCTGTTTCTATTTAACTTAACCTTATCACTATTTTATTATTCTATACGGTGCATTCAGAGATCTGCGAGCTGAAGACGAAGGTTCGAAGACGAAGATGTGTTCTAATCCAGTCACATAGAGGGTTTATGAAAATCAAAGGCCACTTTTATGTATGGCAAAGTAAGTTCAATTGCTTGTCGATTTTTACATCACTAATTGATAAAATGTAATTTGATCTAATACGTTTAAGTAGAACTTGCGGCCTCTGTGAAATGCCAAGTTGTCAGAGAAGCAAGTTACTAATGTCGTGATAGGAATAGGAAGCTCCAAAGACACTAACTCACAGTGGAACGCAGAGTTAGAAACACGCCATCTTTTGATTTGTGTGAATGACGGGTGACTGAAGTGACAGTGACAGTGACCGTGGGACGGGAACTGTGAATAAACGAATATAAAGCTTGAGTTTTAAACGTAGCAGAGGGTAAACAAAATATTCCAGTCAAATTAGAGTGACAGAAACGGACGAATCATTTTGTCGTCATCGAAAAACATCATAATATAACAGCACGAAAATCGACGTATTTCCGTAATGCTATGTGAAATATGGACGTAGTTAAAATTTAGGATGATCCGATTTTTCCGTTGGCGTTGAGCGAGATGTAATGTAGTGCATCGGATGGAAATGTGTACAATGCCTTTGTATTGAGATGAAGTCGTCGGCTCCACGTAGTCACGGAACGTTCTTTGAAATCATGTGCCTTATGAAGAAAGAGGAAATACATTGTTTTTAGAAATGGAAAAGAGAAATAAATTATTTGGATGACCCCTATTACTGTTTGTGCGCTCTTAACTTAATTATGAATTGAAAAAAGCTAGGCGCAATTTTCACGCGAGATTCCCTTTCTGATTCCTGCAAACTTCGTTTTTGGTTTTTAAGAATAAGAACTTTAGACTTGTAACTGGGCCACGGAGCAGCTTTGGCTCCTAGGACCGAACACTTTTACCTTGCTTACCCCGAATTTACCTGAGTCCCGTCTAACACAGGTGAGGGCGCAGTACGACGGTTCACCAGAGCACCGTAGAAGATTGGCTTACAGATAAAGGGTGTAAGGCCAGTATGTCGAATGATGAAGTGATTTCGCCATACGGCTCATTTGGAGCCAGTGGTAATTATTAGCATGTGTGTTCGGTGCCACTGCTGCTAAAAGGCGGAAGCTTTGTCGTTCATGCATGTGACTGGACGCGAGGCTAACAAAGGGTGCAATATGAATTATAGTAGCTCCGTTGTATGGCCTTACTCACGAAATAGATACGTTTCTGCGCCCTTGTGATACTGTTTCCTCATACTATCGTCTTACAGAATTTTTTATCAGTATTTTACAGCTTCTTTTTACAGCAAACTCTATATTCTGTGGTGTATAGGCTTTGTTCTTCACTCGGCATTATAGCCGACCCAATTAATTTAGGCTCTGCGTATTTTCCATTCTGTTAGTTGGATCAGCATAACGCTGCGTTGTCCTTTCATTCAACCGTTCTAAGGACCAGATTATTTGAGAGACGTCACGATATAGTGATATACGGATCGTGTGATACGAATACGCTGTACCAATATATTTTATTTCAAAACAACTAAAATACGATGGATTAGCCCACACGGTACTGACTGATACTGTGAACATTGACAAGTAACTTCGATATATTTAGCTTTCGCCGACATCACTAACCAAAATGTCGTGTCCTAGGGGCTTTGGTTGTTACGCTAATTATATGTAGGTATCCATGCCTATGCAGTGGCTCTACCACCTTGTTATTATTCCTACGTATTTATATACCTTTTTTATGGTAATTACATTCATGGTATTGAATACCCTTATTAGATTTTTCAAATGTCTACGTTCAATACAAAATGTTATCAAAAGGCGTAACGCCTGTTATGTAAATGCGGTACAAAATAAAATCGAAACTTTAAGATACACTTATGGCACTTGCCATTAGGCAGTACTACAAACGTCTAGCGTTCAACACGTTCTCAGGCGTAAACCCAAACCCATTACCTCACGTATCTGTAAGCTTAATCGGCAAGCACATTACCACAACGAGTACGGCGACATGTGCGTGCGTGAGTTGTGCCAGTTGAATTGTGTTGGGTTTATATAGGCTCTAAACAAAACAGCTATCACAACTAGGATGTTGGTAGCTAGGCTTTCTTTGATTTCACTTTTGCTAATATTCAGTTAAAAAAAAAACAGAAGCTTTGAGGTCTGGAAGTGGACATAGGTCAACATCTTTCAATCAAATTTCTGACCGATGTGAGTCGTTTAATAACAACCCAGTCGTGCTATTATACATAGGCAGCTGCAATTAAAATAAGGGTAAATAAGTGCATAGATACGTATTAGGCAATGTTACTTAGGTCCAAATCGAAACTATATAATTCAGTCAGGATACAAACCGTATTGAAGCCAAGTATTCATAAACAATCGACTTGGTCCATGATGTGTCGGGTTAAATTTACCTTAGTTTCGCCTTCTCACATACATAAGTACCAGCTATTTGAAAGGCCACCAAATTTTCATTTTCGTTTCTACGCCTTCTTCTCACTGGTTCTCCTTAACTGTCCTCATTTTAGAGTTCTGAATCGCTTTAGCTTACGCGTAATTCATTGGCTAAGTTAGCCATTGCAGCAATGAATGACCACCGCGACGAGACTGCTAAATAGGAACGTAGAGAAAAAAAAAAGAGAGCTGGGTTAGTGTGGTCCTGCTATCACTATAGGGCGGAACCAGGAAGCGGGAGTTGATCGCTTTCAAATAAACACGCAGGCGTTCGAGCTTATGTCGAACTCTCTCGTAAGATCACTACGGATGCAGGCAGCGAATGTCTGCCGGCATGCTTTCCTTGCAAGTTATATTTCCGATCTTGATACCTGAGAGTGTGCCCGGAGCCCGCTGTTTGTTGTTCTAGTAACGTGTCGTAGTGATAACTCTATGAGTTAGTAATAATTTTCTTCTTTGGTTCTACGATTAGAGCGTGCTCAACCTAGCAGTTATCTTGTTATCATCACAACTGCTATTGCCTTCCAGTGAGTCGAATGAGTTCATATTGCAAGTTTCTTTGGTATATCGTAGTATATTAGACCGCCGATAGCTTGTCACAAGGGCTAAAACGTAAAGCGTCCTGAAAAAAAAGCTTGTCATCTTTAAATATCTTTGCGCCCGCTTTGCACTAAAGGAAAGCAACATTGGAGAACGCGTCCTTCGAAATCCCGTAAGCTGATAAGTACAACATATCGCAGGCGGTAGGAATAGTCAGCGTGATGCTAATGCGATGGGGAAACGCTTGACCGCCAGCCTAAAGCTTCGTGGCTACTTACAGCTTTACACTTGCCTGCTGCTAGTACGCCTGTTAGTAGTTGGCGTGTTGGAAGACATGAAGTAACAACGACAACTGATGTCTGACTAAGTAGCTTAAAAAAGCTGCAGTCCTCAGCGGGAGGCCTGATTGCATTTTGGCCTCTTATATTTACTCGCTTTATTCCTTGGTCTTGCTCTACTGACCAACCCATACTTGAATTCTCATTGTGGACCAACTGCGTGTCATATTTGACGGTGTCAAAACACTGCACGCCTGTATACTATGCAGCATTGTGAGTCTTCAGACATTATTGGTGCTCGCATAACCAGAATTACTCCCAGAGAACCAGATAAACCATATATTTTTTATATACACTAAAACTGCTGTCTATCCGACCCAAATCGATTTTGGAAGGTGATTGGTCGGGCTGATTTTTAGCAGGTCGCAAAGGTTTCATCCTAGGTAAAGCCGTACACAAGATAAAACCTTTTCCAAGGGAACATTGCTTTTTCCATTCTGAAGATCGTAATGTTAATCTGGGAAAAAAACTATTGTTTTTTGCGATATTTTCTTTTTTTCAACGTTTCTTTTTGCTGGATGCTTTGACACGTGTTTATAAAAAAAATTATAGGGGCTGGGATGGGCGAAATTTTATGGGGTTTTTATAGAAAAAAAATTTAATGACAAAATGGTAGTCGAACTTGCACATGGATATTTATGTCGAACAGGTCGTTTCTGACGTCAATCGAAAGCTCTCGACGAGCTGAATTGAAATGTTTTTATGCTTTGATACCCAAAGTTTAGTTTTCAGGTTGAAAATGCCCTGCAGAGGCGGAACTTACCCTGACGTTTTATATAAACATTTTTAACGCCAACCTGTAGGTTTCAACCTACCTAAAATTAATATTTTGCCGCAAAAACAGTCAAAAACCTTCTGAGGCATCATCTCGCTCACGTCACAGTGGCATAAAAACGCGCTTTCGAATTACTTAAAGTGCTTTTTTCAGCGGATTTCCCAAAGTGGCAATCGGGAAGTTGTAACTGCTGACAGATAGGTATTTTCATTAAACTTCGTTTCAAAAGATATTTTTTTTTTATTTAACTTGAAGATATTTTGAGAGAAATAGCAAATTATGGAAAATATTTTTATTATACAAAATATCATTTTCTTTAACGCCAATACTTCGCAGCAAGCGATAACTCTTCATGATTTGAATAAAAATACAATAGATCTTCCAGCAACTAAAATAGAATTTCGGCGCGAAAAAAGCCAGAAACTGAATGTAATAGCTTTTTCGCTCAGGTGACACTAGATAAAAAATTTACGTAAGATAAATACGCAGACGCTCCGATTTAGGTCGAACTCCTCTCCGGAGGGTATTGGCAACGCGGATAAATGTTTGCCAGCGTCCTCCGTTTCCTGCAAATCACACTTCTAATCTTGATAAATAAATCTATATGTGGAGTCCATTGGTTTCTCTAGTAATGATTAATTACATTTTAGC